CCATCCAGTTCTGTTCACATCCCCCACCTATCTGGTTCCCTAATCTCTACATTTGTGGTGCCCGCCAAGTTCTTTCAGCTGAGAGGGAATTTCTTGGCAGAAACTTCTCCATTCCTGCCATTATCACCTTGGGGCACCAGCCCTGTCCTGCTCTTTTGACTTTGCTTTGACGCGCTTTGCCAGAGCTGAGCTGCAGAAACGCTAAGCGTTTGGCACTTGCCTCAAACCAAAAGCAATTTTTTCCAAGGAGGAACATTGCAGAGTCCTTGTTAATAAGAGGCATGGAGCTGTAGGCTTATGGGCGCTGCAACAACTCAATTATTTCTTGTATAGAATTGATATTTCCCCTGAAATATCTTTGGGTGGGGACTTTTCCTGTTTCTTCTCAACACCCTTTGTGTGAAGTGGCAAGAAGGTAAATCTATTTGCAAATTTCAAAGAACCTGGCTGGCGTTTTACCAAACTCTCTTAGTTTTTCACCGCCTTTGAACTAACCACGGTACTGGACCAGCCTCTGCTCTTACCTTCTGCCATTTCTCATGAACAGCACAAGGGTTAGTATGTTCCTGGGCCAGCTAGAGAGGAAACCGCAAAGGACCGTGATTAAGAACGGGAGACAATGGTTGGATCCAGGTAACAAGATGCAAGATAAGGTTGGGCTCTTGGATCCAGCTAAATTCTTGCCGATAATGAAAATCCCAGAGAGAACTGCATCAGACCAAGCGGGTTGCAAAATTCCTGTTCCATGCTCTGCTCATTAGCAAAGCCTTTCTTCGAGAGGCTATTCTTCTTCCTGCTCAATTTCGTTTTCCCATTAATAGTCAGCATATCGAGCCCATTAAACTGTTCCATCTTTGCCGGCCTATTTTTAGCTACTTCTTAGGAAATAGGTTCCTATAAACATTGCCAGGTCAGCCTTCACCTCTCTCTTGTGTGCATTTCATGCTGTTTTGACTACCCAACCAACTCGATTCACCTTATTGCAAGTTTGAAAATAGCGTAAGCGACCGCTGCTAAAAATAGGGGCACTAGATCAGACCACATGGGATTGTTTTAAGCCAGCATCCTCTGTGCCACAGTGGTCAACCTGGAAAGATTTCCTGCTGGCCACTTTTTTCCAGGTTTGTTGCTGGAGGGCAAAGGTAGAGTGCTCCTGAACCTGGAGGCCTCATCTAGCTGAAGAGGCACAACATTCAAGCAGCCCAATTTCCCCTTTAAGGCCAGGGAGGCATAAAATTGCTTCAGTCTCTACAGCAACTTGATTTTGCTGTTCCTGGCTTGTAGGTTGGCAAGGTACCTCCTCTCCCACCTCCCCCCGCCCCACCTTTAGTTCCTGGATTGCTGCAATAAACTTTGTTAATGGTTCTCTTAATGGAGAGCCAGTTTGGGATAGCGGTTAAGGCATCAGGCTAGAAACCAGGAGACCCTGAGTTCTAGTCCTGCCTTAGGCATGAAGCCAGCTGGGTGACCTTGGGCCAGTCCCTCTCTCTCAGCCCTGG